ACTCAATTGAGTAAATCTTTTTAACAACTTTGTTTTGATTGGTACATTTAGTTAAAGTAAATCATTAAAATTAATTAAGTTCTCAATATTTCAATTATAGAATCTTTTCAACAAACAACAAAAGTTCCTAGGAAATTATTACTATTACTTCTATTTAAGTTATCTATTACCATAAAAATGCAAAAAAATAATGAGGTTTTCTGATAAATTTACAATAAATAGTAGTTATAAAACTTTCTGACTGCATATTAATCTTAAAAATAACATTGTTTTAATTCTCATCAAATTTTCTATTTAATGATTTATTCTAGTCAACGAAGGAGTAATTTTGGCGAATAACAGAAAAAATTCACAACCAAAATTTTTTTTTTTAAAGTAGGAAATTGGTGGATTATTCCAAAAGCAACATCAACTCTTATTTCTTTAATTATATCATGATTAGTAGTTCTTTGATTTTAAAATATAATATATGAATANNNNTCTTTGATTTCAAAATATAATATATGAATATATACAATTATAATTATTAAATTTAGTATGAAATTGATATTTAATATTGTAATTTAAACGGAGAAATCATAAAAATAATAAAGAAGTTATATTTTGCTTTACTTTTACGTGTATAAAAATTTAAAGGGCTTGATACAATAATTTTCAATAAAAACTGTTTGTTACTATAAAAAAATGCACTGGACTACAAGGAACTTTCATCAGAAGCAAAAATATACTTTTCTAAATCAAATTTTCGCGTTGTTTTCAAATCTGCAAGTAGACTATTTCTATCACTTCTAATTTTTTATATTATTACTAATTATATATATAAAATAATAATTAAAAGAAAAAAAAATTTGTTTTCAAATTATTACTGATTTGATTTTTAATATGTTAAAAATAATCAGTCCAAATTTTCAATTTTAACCTATTTTTTTGGTTCTTTAAAGTTGATGAAAAATTTTTGATAAAGATTTATGAAAGTTTAAAGTAAAAAAAAAATGAATATATTACCATAACTTTTAGCTCAATTACAAGTTTAAAATTGACATCTAGGCCAGTCAACAAAGGAAAAATTGCGGAAAAAATTCCCAACCAAATTTTGTTTTTTTAAAAGTTGAATAAAAATTTGTATAATGACATACTAATAGTCCTCATTGATTGGAATTAAGCCTTTTTAATTTTCTCAAAAAATATTTAACTTACAAAAAAAAGTTTTGTACAAAAGTTGTTTAAAAGACAATTATAAACAAAAAAATTATCTTATATTTTTTCATTTAAACAAATATTTTTCGAGTTACATTACATTTAATATGAGTACTAAAATTTATATTCCATTTTTTTCATTTTACATGTTTTTTTAAAAGTTGAATTAATATATGTATAATGACATACTAATAGTCCTCAAGATTGGAATTGAGCTTTTTTTTTTAATATGAGTACTAAATTTTATATTCCATTTTTTTCATTTTACGGTTAGTTTTTATCATGTTATACTTACATTAGACCCAATGTTATAAATGCATATGTGTGTATGTGTGAGTTTATTTATTTATTATATCATTAAAGTGTAGTGTATATTAATATAGAACCGATAGAGTAGGTAATTTATTTGACACTATATTGTTTAAACCCAACTAAACGCTAAATTGTACATTCCGAAACAACAATCATATTATGTCAATTGCCACCGGAATTTCTGGTAATATTTTTCTTTTTCTTTGCCTTAATCCCAACTACTTGGGGTCGGCCACCCTTATCCTAACTTGACACGATTTCCCACATCTTCTACGCTCACATCAGCTGTCCTCAAATCGCTTCAATAGCATCCCTCCATCTCTTTTTTGGTTTTCCTCTATCTCTTCTTCCTTCAACATTCATTTCTATAACTGTTCTTACAGCTTTCGATTCTTCTTTCCTCATACCATGACTAAACAATCTAAGTCTATTTTCTGTTATCTTATCTACGATTGACGCAACACCTATACTTCCTCTTATATGCTCGTTCCTTATCCTATCTTCTCTAGTCACTCCACTCATCCAACTAAGCATTCTCATCTCTGCTACACTTATTCTCTGCTCTACTTTCTTATCAACCGCCCAACACTATGAACCATACATCATAGCTGGCCTCACAATTTCATACTAAATTTAAAAACTATAATTAGTATTTATTCATATATTATATTTTAAAATCAAAGAACTACTAAAAAGGATATAATTAAAGAAATAAGAGTTGATGTTGCTTTTGGAATAATCCACCAATTTCTCTAAATGAAACACTATCTACAGATTTGCATCGAAGCGTTTCTTATGATAGTGATTTTAATCACTGTCAGATATCATCTATACTTGTCCCATCTATGCCTTGTCCACACTGTGCCTCGACCCTACTGTACTACCGTTTTTTTTTTTTTGCTTAATATTGGGCTATATAAATGGTCTTCTGCCTTTATTTTGATTATTATTCTAATTTTTACTTTAAAAATTATTCTAATTTTTATTCTAATGCTACAACTTTTAAACTTTACTTTTTTCAATATTCATATTTTTACAATTTTCGATAGAGAATAATTTTACTAGCAGTTAAAAGTAATGACCTATCAGGCTTATTCAGTGGTGTATTTAAAAGAGTGAGCACAGTGTAGTGTCCCACTAGTAGTAATGTTATGTCGATATAAAAACGTTCGTACCCATTGGTAACTTATTAATTGAACATCATTGGTGTCCTTATTATGAATTTCTAAATTTGTCTCTTGGTATATCCATTAGAAAAGATAAAATCATACGACTGTATAAGTAATATACATCCAGAGAAAAACCTCGATCTATATAATAAATTCATTATTCAATTTGATAAATATATCATTACTATTGAATCTATGATATATTTATCAATATGATAATTTTTTTTCTTATCTTGAACAATAATTATTCATAAGAATAATTATTTTGTTGGTATTAATAAAACATTATCATAAACCCTCTATTAAAATTGATTGAGGTTTTTCTTTGGGTGTAGAGGTCCGTTCCGATGCTTAAAATATAGGAAAAATTATTTTTTAAAAATTGTATAACTTTATTTCATATTTTTATTTGTTACTATCATTATAAATGAAAAAATTGCCTATTAAAATGATAAAATATTGCCTAGGTAATATTTTATTAGGGGATGATATTCCCTAAGTAACGCCTTTGGATAAATAGAATTTAAAATTACAATTATTAAGTTTTTTGTGTTTCGAAAATGGTATTTAAGATTGACTGTTAAGATGATATTGCGCTTGATTCTACAACTGCTATTGCTTAGAACACTCGCAAAAGTAAACGGAAAAATTTTGCGACTGAGCTTAAGTAAGAGCGTGTCGGACATCTTTATTATCCTAGGAATAATCGAATAATTTTGATAATCGACAATTCGAAATTATAATTAATGAAAATGAACACGAACATATTTTAAATATTTAAACATATTAAATTGTATAATGAAAATTTAAATTTTCTAAAAAGTATAAAACTAATAGTTGTGAAATGATAAATGAAAATAATCTTTTATTTTTAAATTTAAAGTTTTTTCACAAAATAATAATCAAACAATTAAATAAACTTTATGCTATATTATAAATAAAATAAATTATAAAATCTTGCTGAATGTTGTATGATAAATAAAATAAAAATACATGTTAAATTATAAATGTTTAATAATACTAAAGTAATTAGTCCAATAAAATTGAATTAATTAAAAAATATATATATTATCTAAACTACTAGGGCGAAGCCTTGTTTCGAGCGGTCGTTTGTTAACTGTCCAGTTTAAGAAAATACGCGTTTTGAAAGAAAAGAAGTCGCAGGAATACTCAAATGTTTAAGTAGGAGTTGACACGGCACCGCCTTTTGCTCTAGGCTGGCGCTCACCCGTGTCTCTCTCGATATCAGCCGTCCAGCTATTAATATGACAATCGGTTGTCATCGGTCGTCACCCCGCCCTTGACACTGAGATAAGGCCGCCGCCGAATATGGATTACCGATATTGCGGTCTGTTCTGTTTCCGACGTACCTGTACCTGGTTACCCGTTGTTTTGTCGTTTTGAGTTTGTCTTTCTTGTGTTCTGAGACGATACCTCGAGACCGATACCTAGAGTAAGCTGTGTAGTATACTACAGGGTGTTCAGTAAGTCAGGAAACGGGTTTCTATTGTTCTCATTGTTACAGACAATGAGAACAATAGAAACCCGTTTCCTGACTTACTGAACACCCTGTATATCTACATATATACATTTTGGGTTGTGTAAGAAATATATCCGTTACGGCTAGGGAAGTCGACTGAGTAAATATATATATATTTACATACCGAACTGTTCGTATTGCTACGATCGTTTTTCCTTTACGCTATTCTTACTGTTATCGTTGTAAAACTATAAGTTATTAACACATATTAACGAGATAACCTGTGCGATCGCATTATTGGATACGCGTTAGAGTTTATTAAGTTCTGGAAATGTATTTTTGTGTTGACTCCAAAATTTCGGAGGACATTCGGTACGACTTAAATAGGATATTTTTAAATATAGACGAAGTAGTAGTGAAGCTGTAATGACAGTGAATAAATTGCTATTGGATTTAATTTTTAAGCTTTACTAATCATTCAATTATTCCCATAACTAATTCTTTTCGATTCGGTTATATCGTTTGCCTAAAATTTAAAATTAAAATACATTTTATGATAACGTTCGTAATTTAAATCTGGTTTCCCGCTGAATAATTTAATTGGTTAGTGAGTATGTGGCGTACGTTATCTTTTAGTTCATGACTACAGTATCTTTTTTTTTTTTGTGTTATCACCCTTAAATGTTCAGTCAATTTATTCCAAAATAGTATGAATCAATTTTCTTAATTGTGGCTTGATTCAATTTGTTTATCATGAAAAATATTTGACTATTAAGTTACAAAATGACTTATCTAAAAATTTTGTTTTTCATATAGTTTAACCTTTTGTAGGTTTTATAAAGCATCAGTATTAATTTAAATACTTCATTATTGAAAATGAATGTACTTATTATAATAATTAGATTTTAAAATTTAGAAAATAAATATCTAACTATGTTTTTGGACAATAAAAATATTGTCCTGTTGGAGACAGGTTCTTTTAACCCCCCTACAAACATGCATTTGAGGATGTTTGGTGAGTTAAGCAAAATTAAAATTTTTTTTGGGATTTATGTTTATACAATAAGGTGGTCAAATTTGGAAAGGATGTTAAATTTAATTTTCCCCTATTTAAAAAATAATTTTTTATAAAAATGGATATAATTTTCTAAATTTATGGGGAGCTAAGTTTGCTAACAAACCTTACCCTATGTCTGGTTTTTACTAATGTTTATTTTTCAGAAGTAGCAAGAGATCATTTAACCCGTTTAGGGTATACAGTTTGTGGTGGTATAGTATCACCTGTACATGATTCATATAAAAAAAAAGATTTAGTATCATCTAACCACAGGTGTGCTATGATTGAATTAGCTTTAACTTCATTACCTTGGGTAAAGATGTCAAATTGGGAGGTTAAACAAAATGATTGGACAGTTACTAGACAAGTTCTACAATATCATCAGGTATGTTTTTTTTATGCTAGAAAATATAAAATGCTGATGTGTTTATCAAAATGTATATTTTCTATTGTAGAATTATCTTAATTCAGCCATTAATTCAAGTTTAAATGGTAATAATAAAGATTCCATAATATTACCTCAAAAATTTATTGCAGATCTTGGAATAAACAAGTCTAAAAAAAATAGAAATATTAACTTAAGGCTTTTATGTGGTGCTGATTTGCTTGAATCTTTTGCTGTACCTGGTTTATGGGATGAAAATGATGTAAATAAAATAAAATATTTATTTAATTTACATATTAATCAAACAATTTTTCAACAACTTTCAGATTGAAACAATTGTTAGAGATTATGGTTTAGTTGTAATTAGTAGATCTGGGTCTGATCCAAATAAGTTTATTTACCAATCCGATATTTTAACTAAATTTATGGTAATATGTAAATCTTTCATGGATTGTTGAACTATTTAGATTATATAAATATATCTTCATTTTTATGTTGACATTTTAAACTTGCGAATGAGTTTGAATATTTTTTTACACTAATATAATTTTTTCTTTAAAATAATATTTTTTGATCTAGGCTAACATAATTGTGGTGACCGAGTGGATGTCAAATGATATAAGTTCAACAAAAATACGCAGGGCATTGTGTCGGAATGATAGTGTAAAATTTTTGATGAATGAATTGGTTGAATCATATATAAAAGAACATGGCTTATATGGAACAAATAAAAAGTAAGAATGTGCTCAATATAATTTTTATAAAATTAACTTATGAAACATCTTTCAATAACTTAGAAATTAATGATAAATTGAAGGGATTTTAAATATTGTCTTCTATATATTTTATACCGAATACATCTTATAATAGTTTGAGGCTGTAGAAATTAAAGAAACATGTATTGATTAAAAGTAAAATTATATTTTCTGTTATTATTAGCCTAAAATATCCTTTATTGTTTAAAAAACTATTTCTCAATGATATTGAAAGTTGTTCATTTATTTATTTTTTTTCATTACTTAACAACAGTATACTTAAAAAACTAACTCAACAAAGAATATTTTATTATTGTTCTATTGGTTAATAACACATTAATTTTAATGATAAGTTACTCACAAACTTTACATTTATAGCAAAGTTATAATTAGAGAGACTTCTCTTACAAAATGATTGGTTCCTTCATTTTTTTATTTTAAAAATTAACCTATTTCATGTATTTACTATGCTATACATTTTTCTGTTTTGAAATACATTTTTTTCATGATATTAGCGAATTATGTCATTTTGAAATTATAAAATGAATTCAACTTTTTTCTTATTCTAAAAGATTATTCTGGATTGGACCTCAGTTTTTTAATATCTGAAATAGTTAATTGTCATATATTTAGGGAAATGTTAATTTCATTTGTATTATACAAATAAACACTATCAAATGATTTTTAAAGTTTTTTTGTATTAACATCTATAACTGAATGTAGTAAAATTGAAATTTGACTTTTATTTATTTAGGGGGTTCATGCACCATACATTCTTATATACTTGTATTTAAACATTTTTTTTTTTGATATTTTGCTGCTAATAATTTGGAAACAGTAAGTACATTAGTTTATTAGAAACGAATATTTGTAAATTTTTATCAAAACCTACAGACAGTAATACCATTCAAATATCAGGAATAAACAAAAAAGTTGACAATGAATCCTGTAAAAAACAAAATTGTAGTAAAAAAATAGAAATAACTTGTAAAAAGTCTAAAGTAAGTAATGAAGATAACAGTAAACTTAATTTTTATAGAGTTGGTATTCATGTATCTAAAAATGGTTTTGTTGAAATAATAAGTGACAAAGAGACCATGGTGTAACAGTAATATGAAATTATATTATTTTTATTAAGACTTAAACTTGTAATAATGTGCCAAGTATTTATTATTGATAGGTTAATAATTTGAATTGATCCAAAAAATGTTTATACAATAATAGATATTATTGTATACTTATATTATATTTTGAATCAACATATAAACATAGAACTAAATCAAAATAAAACTATAAGTTTTTATCGAAGATCATTGATTTTATATGCAAGAGAGAGTTAGCTTATAGCTAAATATTTTGTGATAATTGAGTAAAATTCCACAGCTTCTAAATGTTTATTAGAAAATATTCAATTTCTTTTTGTCTTTGATTTAAAGTTTATGAATACCTTAACATTTTGTTTAAGATTATCTATTTTTATAAGTCATAATAACTGCATCTTTCAAAATATTTAGAAAGATTACAATTTTTCTTATTAAAATCATAAAATTCTGTTTGTATATGTATGTTTGCGTAAAAAGATATTTGATATTAATTATAATTACAATTATATCTTTTACTTCCAAAGTGATGATATTTTTTATAATTGATCAGTTGTATAATTTTAACATATTACCATCATTTAAAATGAACTTTTAATTTCAATTTTTTTATTTAATTTTATCATATAAAATTGAGTATAATTCCTTTTAAGAAATAAATTCTTCATTAAAATGTATGAAGTAAAACAACGTCAATCAACAATAAAAACTTTTAAAAAGTTTTAAAGATAGATGATGTTAACATTATTTCTTGTGTGGTGAATTGCATGTCGAGGGTTAAAAACGTATTGCATTGCTATCATACAATATTTTTTATACCTAATTTTTTTTTAAATTTTACTGTATAAAATCGAACAATAAATTGAAGGAATAAATTAAATTGAACAATCTGTAATCAAGTCATTAAAAAATGTTTAGTTTCACATTCAAGTTAAAAACTATTCAATTAGAATAAATTATGTATATATATGTGCATTTAAAATTTTATTCTATTATTTTTGTATAATGTTTTTAACAAAATTTACTCATGTCAATTATGAAGTATTATTATTAGTTAATTAATAATTTTGTTTGTTAAATTGTCTTTCAATAATATCGATTTCATCGATTTATCTTCAAAATGATCATTCCTTTTTTTGATAGTTTGAATGTGAATTTGCTAAGTTGGTGATAAAAATATGAACATTTTAAAAAAAGGAATAAAAGCTAAAAATAGGTATCAAGTTAAATAGATTGTTTAGTTAGACTAACGGATATCTAAAGGAATGATATGATTCATTCATAGTTGATTAGGAATATATTTGTTAATTTTTATTTGGTGATAAGTTTAATCTTTAATGTATTCATAATCGTTTAAAGTATAAAAAAATAATTTGGCTTCACTTATTGTGTAGTTCATTAATTTTGTTAACATATTTTTTTTGTTAATTAAGAAGTTATTAATTCATTTATTAAGTTAAAAACTGTATTGTAGTTTTTTAAGTTAAATTTGATTTAAAATATAAAAAATTAATTGATATTTGTGAAATGTTTTTTATTTTTATTGTATTTTATGATAATTTAATTATTTGTTTCAGGTAATGAAAAGAAAACGCTATTTATAAATGAAAATCTTTATTTATAATATATAATATAATTATTTTGATAAAATATCTGTGCATGTAAATATTTAGTTATATTTGGTTTTATTATGATGGAGTACTTAAAGTTCACGAAATCATTAAAATATTTTTGTTTTGTTTATTGTTTTACTTCTTTCTCAATTTTTGTGTTATTTGTTACCTAAAAATTGTGCTATAAAAATTTAGAATCTCTATTGTTTGCAATTTTTTGTATTATAAAAGATGAAAAATAATTTTTCTGGAATTTTTAATATTTCATTGTAGTATTAATTTTATGAAACTCCTTTTTTATTTATTAAATACTTTTAATTATTTGCATGTTTTCGTTGAATGTAAGAAATAAAAAAATTTTGTATTGCAATTTGTTGATGAAGGAATTTTTTCTTCAGCATTTATTAGCCTTTTTTATTGTAATATCTGATTTAGTAGCTATTGAATATGATTACGACTTTTTAATTTCTTTGATGCTTCGACGTAAAAACATTTGCATCATATGTTGATTAACGCCGAATTCACTTTAATATCCTTGTAGGTATTATCATTGTATAAAAAATAGTTAAATGAGCACTAACTAAGACTTGAAATAGTATGCATTTATAAATTTTGTTAAGTTATTCCAAACACGTCATCAGTCTGTACACATTTTTATTAATTGACTTGAAAACTTAGTAATGTGTTGTTACCGTTGTTTTAGTTTTTAAAGGATTAAGGGGTTTATCCCCCCTTAAACGAAAAATATTTCTACGTTTCTTTAATATATTCCTACGACAAATTGCGCAAATTTGGGTGAGACCTTTCAAAGTAGAGCCATATAAGATTTATAAATGCATATATACATCTGGGCCCTATTAATGAAGAACGTCAAATAATAATTATTTTTTATATTTTTTCTTAATTTTTAATTTTTTTTACACTTAGAGGTCTACTACTTCTTGAATTTCTTTACTTAATTTCAAGCCGTTGGGTAAGTTTTTAAACTTTTGAGGGGTACTCTTAATAATCATCATTACAAATCGAATAAGTAATTTGTTTGTAAAAATAGTTTTTAGTAAAATAAAATAGAAACGTATTACCAGAGGTTATTTTATAAAAAGGCAATGGAGAAAAGTTAGTGGTCACTATTTTAATATTTTTTTATTAGTCGGAGATAAAGTGAATAATTAAATATTCATTCAATATAAGACCCTTGATTTTAAATACTCGTATTATTAAAAATATATTCTTTATTTTATTAAAAATCATATATGCAGACATTTTGCAGCAAAATAATCTTGTATTGATCCAAAATCAGTTATACATTTTTTTTTTTTTGGTGATGGTGAAAATATAGATTTGATTCTTGAATTTTTCAAAATAGAATAATTTAAAGAAAAATGATTTTGTTGGATAATTTATTCTGATATGTGTTATAATAAATTATCATTATCTGTTAATTAATAAAAAGTAAGTAAATGTTCATATTATTGTAAAGACACTGTAATCAAATTTTGTCTAAGATTGTAGGATAATTACTTAAAATGATCTTTAATAATTACTACAATCAATTAATAATGTAATAATAATAGTGTTGTTGACACTTTTTGCTTATGAATATAACTAAAATTTCCTATAAAAAGCTCAGAAAATATTTATATACCTCCAATTCTACACATCAATGATTAGACATATTTTCAGTCGCGTTCACATTTATTTTAAACAAAGAAAAATCAAGTGATTATTAAATAATAAAATATTAATTGAATTAATTAGATCAATAACGTTTATATAAATTAAAATTGACAGAGTTCGATCTTTGATATGTGTGTATTTGAAGGTTTATTTGTAGCCACTATACATGTATTACTCCAGTAGACACTTAAGGTGACTGTATCAAACTAATTATAGGTAAAAGTATTTACTCGTATTATTGATATTAAAAAGAGTGATAATTATCACTCAATAAAATTATTGTGATTAAATATATTAAAATAAGTATTCTTTTTATTGTTATAAAGCCAATGGTTAATAATTATTGAATCACTTTTTCATGTTATTTTAATCGTTAGAAAATCATCAAGCAAAAAATAAATAAATAATTATTTAATAAAGTATTATTTATTTATTTATTGTAAATTATTTACATAAATAATATAGATTATAAAAAAATTTTTATAAGATTTTAATTTTGTTATTAGTTAATATTGAGTATAGCTTGATTTTCGCACATATCCTTGACTATGGAATTAAAAAAAAATTTTTGGTTTAGGATAAACATCTAGCATAGCTCTAAAATAATACATTTAAAATAGTTAATCTGACAATTTTTACACCAAATTTTTAGTAATTGTCTTATCTATTGAAATTTTTTTTCGAGAAATAAATTTATTTATAAAATACTAACTTTTTTTTTAACTCATCATAATTAAATGCTATGATACCGAATGCGTAATTACTAGTGATAGTAAAATAAAATAGTAAAAAAACCTAGTTAAACAGTAATCTATTTGCTCATTAGAACTTATTCAACTTAAACTGATCTCGTACCCCATTTAGGATTTAGAAATTGTGCTATTCGGGTTTTATAATTCTACCGCTCATAAAAAATTTTTCCTGTGTTATTTATGCATTGATATATTTTTTTTTGAATGAGAAAAAAAAGGTATAATTTATATTGCTTTAAGTTATATGCGACAGAAAAGAAAGTGCGCGCTTTTACCCCAAGTTAATCAATCTAGTAGCCCAGTCCAACAACATCTTTTTTAGTACTACTAGAATTTTTCTTTTTATTTGAGTCACCACAAATGGTAAGTGCTTGATTAACAAAATAAAAAAGGAGGACATGATTAACTGATGGTGGATTTCACTATGCAAAGTATGTAAACAAAAAATATACAAGAAAGTTTTTAAATGTCTGATACAGTTGGTTATCATCGACAATAACGGTAATGACCGTAACCAACGCCAACAACAACAATGTGGAACGCTTAATCGTCACTGTCTGTAAACAACAAATCACCAGACGCCGACAAACGCGGTAGCCATGTTTTTATTGATCGCAAATCATTATAATAACAATAATATTAGTGTAACATTCGATTTTTACCTACTAAACATCGGCTGACGTACATGTCACGTAAGTCTCCCACGTAAAACATATGCATAATGGCTGTAACCACGTTCTGCTGTGGCGATCCCTTCGGTAATAACCAGGTGTATCACCGCCAGCCAAGTGTGACGAACCTGTGCTGACACTAAACTTACAGCAAATCTACTACCCGGCTGCGTAATTGGATTACGTACTTTCGTACGAAAAACAGTGGCGGAAGGGAGAGCATAATCGTGGCACCGAAGGGCTTCGCGTGCCACTCATAATAGCAGCCGACAACTGTTCTGAGGGAACCAGCGTCGTATGTGCGTGTACACATTTTTCTTTATTATACCGAGTCAAGACGTATCAGTTACATAAATTCGTCTCTGCAATAACCCCAAGTGTTCATTGCATCACCTATCGACTTTTCGGCATTAGGATGACCGCGCCCTCTGCACTCATCATCTGATGGTTACTGGTTGTCTAAGCGGTTAGTAACATTTAATACATTTTTAAATTAATTGTCTTATTAATTTCATAGTCGAACTAAAATGCGTCAATTAACTGGAAACAACATAGACGCATTTCATTAAAATTATTTGTAGTCCATTGAAAGAATGTTATAATTAAAGAGAGCTTTTTATAGACATTTATTCGAAGCAAATAATAAGAAAATGCTGCATAGTTTAAGCGCAACTAGATTTTTATGTTTTGTAATACAACATAATTATAATATTTCATATATTTTTGATGATTATTATCTGGTATAGAATTATTTTATAGGAACAATTTTAACAATAATAAATTTATAAAATGTTTACTACGTCTTTAAAACGTTTTTTTAATATCATAAACATTTTTTTTTAAATAACAATACAACAGTGATTTTGCTGTCTACAATATTTAGCTGATATCTCTAAGTGGAATTTCGACGCCGATTCCAAAACGAGGCATCAGAATTTTTCCATCGCATTTAGTTTTTGATATAATTACCAATAATAATTAAGCAGCACTAATTAAACAAAAAAATTGAATAATTATATTATTTTCTCGCATTAAATAGTCTTTATAAATCCCTGGTACTAGAATTCGGTATATGATGTAAAATACAAACACCAGCCTAAAATATACATTATGTAAACTCGTTGTGCTAAAACTAAGTGGTAACGTGTCCAAGCCCAAGTAGCCACGGCGAACATCAACTATGGCCTAACTGTTGTTTTACAAATCGATGGAATTCCATCAAACTTATTTACAAATAAAAAATATTATAGCCGCACGTTTTTGATGTAAATACTATAGATGACTTCATGATTTTTGCTGCTTTCATGCATTTTAATTGATATGTTGAATTCGTCTCTTGCACAGAATTTTTGCCGCAATCGCACGTCGGACACACTTGACTATACAAATAATGTGATAACAATGCGGCTGCGATTGCCGCTAAAACGTAATTTGAATTTCTATCGTAACATGCCCAGAGATCATATGATATGACACTCAACATTCTGAATGTATAATGTTGAGTATCGTTTAATATATTTTATAAAATCGTCTGTTTCAACAATCCTTGATCTATCTTTTTTCAAGTTTTGTATGAAAACGGATAGCTTTAATTTATGAAACGTCAACAATTAGAAACAATTTGATTAAATTAACATTATCTACACATGTATAAAATATTGTAAGTTAATTGTACATTAATAATTCTAAAGTTTCAATGATAGAAACATTAATAATCAACTTTTATGTGGATTAATATGAATATCATTTTTAAATACCATTAAAAATAATTGACAATGTGTGTAATTAGTTTCAGAAATCATGCTTTGTTTTTTATTGAAACTATCAATAATAGCTACGTGCATGGTGAATTATACAAGTTCTGCTGAGTGTGGCCCAAATCAAAATGGTCAACCCACAAGCTTTTACAAAACTGCTGGAGATATTTTATTAACTGGTATATGAATTGAATATTTAACATCTAAGCAATAATTCACTTGGAGACAATTAACTTATGCATTTTTCAAGGGTTTTACGATGTGTATGACGAAAAATGTACCGGCCCTTTAGCAACGGGAATTCATTCAATGGAAATGGTAGCTACTGTCGTGCAAGTGCTAAACTCTGTTCACTACGTGCCAGGCATGACCATAGGTGAGTCATCAGTCTGATGAATATTTAAAAATAAAATATGACCACACCAGGTAAATAAAAATTATTGTAAAAATATAGCAGTAATACCTACAGAATAAGCTAATACTATAAATCTAGTTTTAAGTCTTAAAATTAATTTTCAAGTTGACCCTACGAGTTTTATAAAAATACGTATATGACATTGATTAGGTTATTCATACTTAAGTCATACCATTCACACCATTAAATTTTACCATTGAATAAATGTGTATCATTATGATACTTGATATTTAAATTTTTTTTGTAAACAATTGTCCATAGGTTTATCTTTATACGAAGTCTGTTCGCATAGAAGTTCAGACCTTCAAAAAGCAATGATTTCTTTTGTTGTTGATCAAGACTGTGATAATTCTACAACTCCAATTGGTATGAATTAAATTTTTTTTATGTAATTAATAAAATGTAAATAGAAGTTTATTGAAAAAAAATTTTGCTTTAGCTATTTATACTACCAATGATGTGTGTTCTAAACTATCGATTGATTCTCCACTAAGTTTAAATGTACCGATTATTGGAATGGGATCAATAATAAATATTGAAATGCTGTCAGAATCTGCTGTGAAGTTTTTAATCGAAAACAATGTTAGTGTAGTCGATTTGCTAGTTGCTCAAAATAAGGAAGCGGCTCAGATGTTTGAAATAATTGCCAAGAATAATGCTTTGTGTTTAAACAAAACTGTTTTAGTTCAAGAAACTGTGTACGATATTACTATATTTCTAGTATAGTTTATAAGTGTAATTTATTTAATAAGATTTTTGGAACATTTATTTTCTTTATTGTATTTTTATGTTTATTTGAAAAAATTGTTTCACTCGTAATATTTTTAAAGATCTTCGTCGACTACACTTGTTAATAATTAAACTCATTAAAAAAATGTATTATTTTAAACTTAATTTTAATTCTTATACAATTATGTTGAATTCTTTAAAAATTAATTTTACTGTTTGATTTTAGGCGATGGAATGATTCAATGGTAGTCGTTATGTTACTAACTAAAGAAGATTTTACTCGAACCTTACAATCATTTAATGAAGTACAAGTATCGCATTTTATTGTTATACCAGTAGATGGACCATTGTCTCCAGAATCTGGTAAGTACACTTTTATATTAAAATAAAATTTTAGATTAAATAATGTTATTATATGAATTATTGTTGAATAATTCAGATATTATTAATGGATCATACGTGTTTCAATCGTACGGAAATTGTCCACTATCGAATAAATCTGGTCTTAATATGAGCGCTTCAGGTAGTAATGAGTTGGGGATAGAACGAATTTCTCTTCAGTTTGTCCAGACCGCAGTAGACGTGATGGCTATAGTTGACGAATACAGGCGTTTCGTTGAGGGTATCGCCGAATGCGGTAAGAATAACGAAACAAGTTTACAATGTGGAAGTGAAGTAACCGGTAATTGGACAGCCGGGACGAAAATGGTACCCGTAAATTTCGACGCTGATGCAATTAGTGAGGCATTGAATAAGTTGATGTTGCTTGATGATGGCGATTATAATGTGACTTTGGTACATGTTGTTGAATATGGCACCGGAGAAACGGTCAGTGAATATGTACAGGATTCAAACGGTACACGTTCGTTTCAGTACCGAGAAGATCGTGTCTACTTCAACCGCTGTGAGACAGACTGTCCGATTTGTACGGACACAGTTCGATTTGACAGACAACAATGGTTGCTGACGTGGAAAGAGGACGTATGGATAGCGTCTACGTTAACGGTTTCGGCTGTTGGCGCTATATGTGCTGTTTGTATTAGTGCGTTTATTTTGATACGTGTGTGCAAAAAGGACATATTGGAAGGCAATCCAACATTTACATTCATTCTGATGGTTGGCACGTTTTTGATGTACGCCAGCGCTGTGCCTTTTGCAGTGGAAACAACCACGTACGCTAATGTTATGTGTTACGCCAAATTATTTGGAACTTGCGCCAGTTTTTCCATAGTGTTTTCTGCTATGTTAGCTCGATGCATTATGATCGCAGCTTGCGATTGCGATTCGAGTTTTATGAGCCATGTCAATGGTTACCTACAAACTTCGTTATGCACGTTCACTGTTTGTGTTCAATTAGCGTTGCTTCTACAGTTTATGGCCATACATGCAGTGGTTCCCGATTCTGATTTGTGTCATGTGTTCATTGATGGAAACTTATTCTTGGGCAGCCTATCTTATGATATATTGTTACTAATGCTATTGGGATGTACGACACCGTTTGTGTTTAAGTCAAAGCGAAATTATCGGGAAGGGGCCTGTTTTGCTGTGGCTACTTTTCTGACGTTCATCGTCTGGTTGTGCTGGTGCACGGCCTATGCGCAATTACCCAAAAAGTGGTCCGATCTGTGTGTAATGATCGGTCTGTCCGGTACAGCCACCGTTATGGTGATCACGGTGTTTGTGCCTCGAACTTACATGATGATGTTCGGTATTGTCCGCGAGCAAATAACTAGTTCGCTGCCTTCGCTTGGTTACGGCCATACTAACGTTGCGGATGTCAATTATAGGTCCAACCAAGCGCTGTACGATTCAGTTCACGTGGCTCCTGCAAAGTGCACTAGTTTTAGGGGGCAAACAAATCCTAATTACTATTCACCAGCCGGATCACAGGTGCACTCCAGCAGACCGGCGACACCTTCTGCAGTTAATGAGTATGATATACCTCCATCACCTGATAATAGAATTACCAGGTTTTAACCATAATCTAGGAGAAACGTACTCCAGGGAAAATTTGTGTTGAAAGTGTCATTAAAATATCGACGATTTAAATATGATTAACACTAATAGGTTTTGGGAAACTGCTTGTATTTTAGTTGAACATATAAAAATTGTTTTCATATCAAAATTGAAAAAATGATTTCAAGAATTATGAGTGAATTTCTATGTACGCTTAGTAGTTGTAAGATAAAATCTCCAAAATATATGAATGAATGACGAATTTTTTCCGTTTATTTATTATATTTTAGCAGTGTTATTTTCTTTAATCAATAATTTGAAAAAATTGATTAATGCTTATTGTGTTTTTTGATCAACTAAAAATTATGCTTATCGTTTGGTTTTTTTTTAAATATTTGTAATGCTAAAATAAATATTGTAGCTTGAAGTAAGTGTAAGTTTTTAATTTTCTGAAAAATTAAAAATATAGTTTTATTTTTTTGTAGTAATGTTTTCTGGATTAGAGAAAAATGTTTATATAAATAAACCAGTAATTTAATTTATACAAAATAAACACCACCACATTGTAATAATTAAAATTATTTATGCTTAAATTCTTAAGTCAAAGCATATATATTTACATTGAGTGAAGGAGGGGTGTGACTTGTTGGAACAAAAGATATGATCTGTAGTAATTATAGAAATGTAATTATTGAGTGGAAGAAGAGGCGTGTCTATTGATAAGGAAATACGATTTCATTTACAAATATGAAAATATCGGAATTGAAATAATTATGTGTCAAATCTTAAGGGACAGAAAAAATTTAAAATATCGAGTTTTAGTCAAATTAAAAAAAAATAGTTGTTTTTTTTATAATACAGGAGTTATTGTAAACAATTTGTTAGTCAAGATTGTTTTTTTACGGGTATCGTCATTTTTATTTATTTCTATATTATGTGTTATTATCTAAATTAAGATGATCAGTAATAAAATTCAATTTTTCACTTGGAATAATTGAGTTTTCTAACTAAAACCGGCTTTTATAAAGTAATTTATTGTAATGAATGTGTTAAAGCTTTCATGGATTGTCTTGTTGCTTGAAGTGCTTAAGGATTTATTGTAATTTATAAGTAATTTATGTCTGCGGGGTTACATTCTTTATCAGACATTTTTATCTCATTGAGTATTCTTATAAATAATGTTTCATAACTTTAACAATGATAAATAATTTTAATTTATCAGTAGGTATTAGTCGTGTTAGCTCTTAACATAATTGTTCAGAGCGAAGTTCTTTGCTGTATTTTTCCATCAAAAATTCATTTTTCTTAAAAATTAAAGTTTTATCGGGTAAGCATATAAAAAGTAAGCCCGTTTCATATTATTTGGAAAAAAACTGCTAAATTTTAGGGAGATTTGCATTTTAGTTTGAACGCTTATTTGTGTTTCTGATGCTCTTCTACAAAAATTTTTGATAATCTACATCATGTCTTTTCTTCTAATTGGAAAGATAATCACTACTAGTTTTATATTTAGTTTTTTTTAGTTGTAGTAGTAATAATATTTTTATGTATTCGAGATAACGAAAAACGATTAATTTTATGACGAGTTATCGAGAGTAAAACTTTATTGTGTGTAATTATAATTTTTAAGGGATTATAAATAGATTCGAGATAGCGAAATATTCATGATGACAACGTTTGAAATAAAAATAATTTACTGTAGTTTATTAAATTATTTTAAATTGATAATATTTATCTAATTAATTTTTTTTTGTATATAGAAGAACGTTTGTTATTTCACTCTTTAAAACTCTTTAAATTAATTATTTATAAATATAAAGTAGAACAAAGATATGACTTTTTATATTAATTTTTACTATAATTATAATTTATAAAATACAAAGTTTTAAGTATCTGGATACAAAACTGAATAGCCAATACAACAATTTTGATGAGATTAATAAACGTGTTGTAGCAGGTTATAAGTGTTTACATGCACTGTCTAAGTGCTTTTTTTCAAATCTAATATCAAAGAAATAAACGTTTACAAAGTAATAGCAAGATCTATTATAGCGTATGTATGTAAGACATAGCTAACAACCAGAAAAAGGACCAGAAATAATTGAGTGGGAGTAATAGATCACAGATTGATTATGTTATGTGAAAAAGGGAGAGCATATAGCGAGTAAAAAATTGTAAAGTTATAACAGGCGAGAGTGTAACTTTACAACATAGACTGATGGTAATAAATTTTTGGTGTAGTGTAAAAAGAATATACAAAAATAGAAAGAACACAGGTGAAAAATCGACCATCCGGTGGTGGAAATTGAAAGGGGAAAATGAAAAAGATTTTTTAAAGACGGTAAGAGAGAGGACGGCGGGGAATGTTGAGAGAGACATAAATGATGTGTGGAATAGATTTGCTAGTTGTGAAAAGAATACTGCAATCTCCTTTGATGAGAGTAGGAGTAGAATGCCAGGAAACAAGAAACCTGGTGGTGGGATGAGGACGATCAAAAAATCATAGAAAGTAAGAAAAAACTATTCAAAGTATGACAGTAGAGCAAAAGGAATGAAGATTGAATGGAGTATAAACGCTTGTGTAAAGAAGCCAAATGTGCAGTAAGTAAGGCGAAGTTAAAGAGGTATGATGAGTTGTATGGTAGGCTAGGAACAAAGGAAGGCGAGAAAGAAATCTATAGACTTGCAAAAGTAAGAGAGAAAAGGACTAAAGATTATCATTATATAAGGTGTATAAAAAGTGTTGATAATAGGGTACTCTCAAGTGATGATGATGTGAAAAAAAGGTGGAAAGAGTATTTTGAAAAATTACTGATTGAGGAGTATCCAAAAGAGACATTAGAGGATATCACGTTGGAGGAGGAACTGATAGACTTAATTAGTAAGAAAGAGGTATGGGAGGCATTAACGAAAAAGAATAAAGCAGTAGGACCAGTTTAAGTGCAAGTAGAAGTATGAAAAATATTAGGCGGTGTTGGCCTATATAAGGTGATTGAAGGATCTTTTAAATAAAATCTTATTTGAGGGGAAAATCCCAAATGAATGGAAAAATAGTATTGTTGTGCCGATATTTAAAGGTAAAGGAGATATACTTGAGTGTGGAAATTGTAGAGGTATAATATTTACAAGACATAGTATGAAAATTTGGGAAAAGGTAATAGATAAGAAAATAAGAAATGAGATATTGGTATTTAAAAATCAGTTTGGATTTATGGCCAGGTAAGTCAACAATGGAGCCATTTTGTGTGAGGCTACTAATAGAAAAGTTTAGGAAAAGAAGAAAAAGCTGTGTATGGTAATTATAGATTTGGAGAAAACGTATGATAAATTACTGAGAGAGGTTTTAAAGTACGCATTAATAAGAATAGGAGTCCTGAAAGATACATTAATATATAATAGAGATATGTTACATGGCACTTGTACCCGGGCAAAAACTGTAGAAAGAGTAACAGAAAGTCTTAGGGTAAGAGTAGGAGTGCAATAAGGTTCTGCTTTAAGCCCTTACTTATTTTCTATAGTGATGGATGAAATTATTAGAGAAACACAAGGAGAGTAGCCAGAGCGCACGTTGTTCGCTGACGATATAGTTTTAATAGCAGAAAGAAGGGAGGAAATTAATCAAAGGCTAGAGATGTGGAAATCAGCTCCTGAATAAAAGGGTTTAAGAATAAATAGGAGTAAAACAGAGTATATAGAGTACGAGTTTGACAAAGGAGAACACGAGGTAGGCGAAATGAGGAGATTAGTGACAATAAACGAAAACATGATAGGTGAGGTGGAAAGTTTTAAATATTAAAAATCAATTGTGCAAAAGAACTGGTATTGATGAGAATGTAGGACATAAAAAAAAGTTTGAGTGGATGAAGTGGAGAGAAATGCCTGGTTTTATGCAATAAGAGGATTCCAAAGAGGCTGAAATGTAAGTATTTTAGACTGTAGTAAGACCATCTATGAACTGTAATTTAAAGTATTGAGCGGCTGTCAAGAGAATAGAGTAAAGAATCAGTGTAACAAAAATGATAATGATTAGATGGACAAGTGGAGTGACTAGAGAAGATAGAATAAGGAACAAACATGTCGAGCATAATATGAGAGAAAATAGATTTAGATTTAGATGTTTTGGTCATGTTATGAGGATAAAAGAATCGGAAGCTGTAAGAATAGTTATGGAAATGAATGTTGAAGGAAGAATAGGTAGAGGAAAACCAAAAAAAAAACGGTAGCACAGTGGGATCGAGGCACATTGTGGACGAGGCATAGATGGGACAAGTATAGATGATATCTGACAGTGATTAAAATCACTATCATAAGAAACGCTTCGATGCAAATCTGTAGATAGTGTTTCCTTTAGAGAAATTGGTGGAATATTCTAAAAGCAACATCAACTCTTATTTCTTATCACTGTCAAATATCATCTATACTTGTCCCATCTATGCCTTATCTACAAAAATATTATTTTATTTTAAAATATCTTATTAGGAGAATACATGGTCAAAATAGCTACCGTATTTAAAAATATGCTATTATTGTGTTAAAATTCTTGATTTTGTATTTTATTTTATTATAAGAAGATTACACTGATTTTCATAAATATTATATCAATCTAAATGACATAGTATAAAAAATTAATCATATTTAATTTTTTTTGTTTCTTTGAAGTCAAGAAAAATAACTTTAAAATTTGAACTAGCTAANAAGAAAATTAACTTTAAAATTTGAACTAGCTAAATTTCCATTTTTATTAAATTACGAATGCGACGTACGGTTTTTGAGACCGTAACACTTGGGTCTTTCTCGACTATGGCACTGAATTTTTTTTAAATTTTTTTTGAGTTAAAAAAAAATGTTTAACTCATTTGATTTTTATCTCATTTAGATTCAATAACTTCAATAAATATCAAGGATTCCATTACTGTAGTCTCCTCTTGTGAGAAGAAATTCATATTAATATTATTTTACTATGTGGTTTTTTTTTGTAGCTATCATTAATTTTCTCAGCTCTCATTTGACCTACTTTTTTGACAAACTTTTTCTTTTAAATTAAACACTATTTATAGATTTGCATCGAAGCGTTTTTTATGATAGTAATTTTAATCACTGTCAAATATCATCTATACTGGGCCCAATTATGCCACGACCCCTCTGTGCTGGGTTTTTTTTGTTTTTTGTTTTAGATACTATGGAAATAGAATTTAGGGGTGAATAAGTCTAGTAAGAAGTGCTGAATTTAGTTAAATATTTATGTAACTAATATTTTTTAAATAATTTAATATAAACTAACATTTTATATATATAAACTGAAATTTCTAATATTTATGTAAAATATTTTATTAATAACTTAATGATAAAAAAATAAAAATAATTAGAGAAAAAAACTACTTTTTTTAACATGTCTAGACTTATTATATCACGTTCAGAATTGTTTACATTAGCGTAGAGAGAGGTAAAGAGGCGTAGAGGCCACTGATTTCCAATATTACCCAAATGATAGTCAATATTTAAAAAATGTTTTCATATAACAGAACTTAAAATTAAAAATGATTAAAATTTAAAGAATCGAAATTATTTGTCTTTATATATGATTATTATTTAGATAATCTTATATATATTTATTATGATGTAAATTTTTTGACCTGAGGCAATACTTTTATTCAATTATTTTTATGAAGAAATAAATCTATGAAAGATGTGAAAATAATGGTTCTATTGTAAGCGAACATATATTTTCATAATCAATGTAATAAATAATCAAAATTTATCAATACTTTAAGTTTATTTATTTTCATTATAATTTGTGTAAAAATAATTTTTATAAAATTTGAAACGATTTGATTATATTTAGAAGTGTTCATTTTGATTGAAGTTTGAACTCTTGCATATCTATGGCTTCTTAATATTTAAAAATTTTTATGACTTCTTATGATTTTGTATTTTTATTGCTTTTTAATATTTTCATGTTGATATATATATATTATGTAAGCAATACTGTAAATGAATTTAACATCACTCGATTTAAAAGAAATTAGATATATTTTATTTATTTTTTAATATTTTAATACACAACGTTTGATTAGAATAATAAATACATATTAATTAAATGATTAGTTATAATAATTTTACAATTTATTCCTGCAGCTAATGGTTGACAGTAATTTAACAACATTTTTAAGTTTATTTAATGTTTAGTCTTCTTCTGAAATTTCTAATTTTTTATAAGAACTATTAATTTTTATTTTCAATGTTGGAATACTGCTTGTAGAGTTGTAGTCAATTACACCTTTTCCATTAGTTACAATCTATATCAATAGGGTAAAATATTAAATTATGTAATAAATAATTATAAAATTGAATTTTTTTAGTTTTCTTCTTACATTGGTGGTTTCTTTGTTTGATAATTTATTTAAAAATAAAAGTAGACAGCAATAGCATACGTTAGAAATACCAATAGTCCTCATTAACCAAGCGAATCCTATGGTCTTCATCAACTTTCCTCCTATAACTGGACCTAAAATAATATTGGATACTTAAAATTTGTTTTGTTTGATATTTTTGTTCATGATTATTTTATAGTTTATTCATTAAAATAAGAACCTAATACAATATTCATAGTAATGAAGAAATTACCAGAACCAAATATCTACTAGTTTTCTAAAAATTTCCTAAATATGTTTCTCAAATATCTCTTCTTTTTCTAAAGGCTAAGCCTTGTCATAGTTTTTATATCCTGGGAAATTAAGTGTAGTGGTTTTCCGTTGCCTTCTGCATTGGGACACATGGTGCTTTTTTTCGCCACTGTAGAAGCGTACGCATGGTCACCCATCCGTTCATCTACGGTGGTAGGCGCAACTTAACACTAGAGTACTGTTAACAACTAGTGTGACCAGCGCGCGCACACCACGCCCCTTAAATTATATCTGTTATATAATTAATTATTGCCAAATGAAAAAATTGGGATCAATGTAACAAATTCAATTTTATTGATTTGTATAAATTATGATTTAATTTGCATATTATTTATATATGTATATTATCAAAAGTACAATTCAAAAATTAAATTATTGAAATTTTATTGTAGTTCAAAAATATGTTAACGAATTCTATGAGTTTAAATTAAACTTTCTTAAATTCAACTCACCTATGAAGTAAGCTAAACTAACAGCTGTTTGCTGCAAAGCGTATACTGATCCATAATGTACACTTGGATGTCTGGAATCTACTAGATGGGCTAACATTGGTACCAAAGCCGAATCAACAACACCAATTCCCAAGCCTAGTCCAAAATGAGGGAATACTAGTCCTAACATCGTTGTCGTAGATGGAATCTAAATATAAGTTTGATTAAATTAAATTTAATATATTATATCTACCATGATATATTTGATTATTTTACATATTGATCATAAATATTTACAATACATATTCATCCAATAAAATATAATACACCAACGAAAATGGCAGGGTTTGGTTGGTCTGTGACCTTTTATTGTCGATTCAAATTAAAAATTGACTTGGATCATAGAAGATATTAGAAGAATTTAAAAGAAAGTTGTTATAATAAAAGTTATATATGAGGACTTATTTTAAATTTACTTACTAAAATTGCTGATATACCAACTAAAAGTGTAGCCAAAACAGCCATTCTCCATCTTCCTACTGTATATGACAAACTTCCAAAAAAATTTGTGCCGATTAAATAACCGAGACTATCGGGAATGAAAACGGTTCCCAGTTGCCATTTCTTAAATATTTTTAATAATATCATGTAATAAAATAAAATAATATATATATTAAATTATTGTTGTGAATTTTTTTAAAAAAATTCAAATATTTTTAATATAAGTTATTATAACTATGAGCTAAGAAAAAATAACATAAATATTTTTATGGATAAAAACGCCCTTTGTTTTAATTTTTTTTTATTATAATTAAATTACTTGTGGGTTTATGATTTGTATCAACCAAATCGGTAAAAATGGTTCTAATGTAGCCATTGCTGAAGATGTTATACAAATAGCGCCTGTTATTAACAATATATATCCGTCTTTTAGTAGATCTTTCCAATTACCACCATTAAATTGTGATATCTATAAAGCAACAATAGATTTTATTTATGAAAATTGTATTCCTGTGGCTTATATCCAAAACTGATATGTTACAAAAATGGATTTTTTTTATCAAATTTGTATAAGGAAGATTGTATCTCATGTGAAAAAATTACGATCAAATTGTTTGAAGGAAGGTTTGTTTTTTTATTTAAAGAATGTCGATTTCTATAAGATGGCATCGATATTTTGAATTTGATTTTGATCTACTGAAAAGTATCTAAAATTTACATATCAAATTTTGAAAAATAACCACAGAATTAAACGTTCCATAAATATATTGTAATGTTAAATACAGGGTAATAATTTTTTTAACAATAATAGTTTATTGTTGAGCTGTTTTCAATTCAATAAATCTGATTTTATAATAAAAATTTGGGTTGCTGTATAAAAGCAAAAATTTATACAAGTTTAGGGTATAAGGGATGAGAGTAGAAAATTTATTATTTGTTTTAAGCAGCTAAACAATGAATTATTATAGATAAAAATTAAAATTGAGAATTAACTTTAAGGTTTTTGAAGATATTTCGTAAGGAGTAGTTAGGAAATCATTCTGTATTATAATTATATCAGACTTGAAAAAGTGTTTGAAAAATAATCTATGAATAATTAAAAATAAAAATAAAAACAAAATATCATTGTACTATAATGAAAAAATGTTACCTCATAATTATTTTCCTCGTGTAGTTGTTGAAATTGTAATTTTTCCTTGAATCTTTTTACCTGAATATATGATATGCTATCAAAATCTAAATATTGATTTTATTTCATTGGACAATTTATATTACCTGTTTGACAGGATTAAACTTCAAAACGCATAATTGCAGTCCTGTAAATAAGGCCAATTATTGTTAAATTAATAATTCTGAAAGTTAATGATTAAAATTTTATTTAAAAAATGTAGAAATTCTCACTTGGAATTAAATATAGTCATTTTATTATTTTAAATAAAAAATTATAGTTCTGTTGAATAAAATATCTATGGGTTTTAGTAAATATTAAATATGTTCGATTGTCATTATAAGGCGTTATTGTGTAGTCAAAAATGCTACACTCGGGTGTATTTATGAAATTAGTAGTATATATCTAATTTATCTTATGAAAATAAGCCATTGCAATCATTTATTTTGTTTTACCACTCAGCCATAAAAAAATTAAAACAATTCCATTTAATTCAATGTGTGTAATTATTAATGAATTGACTAATTAATTGGCTCGATTTTTTTAGCTTTGATGTTGTATTAACTTTAAATCTAAATATTATTTTAATAGTAGTGTTGTATTCACTACATTCATACAATAATATAGCATTTTTGTGTACCATTTTTTTTTATTATATGTAATTATACATGTATATATCGTTATGTGAGAAGATATTAACTGATTTTACTTTTTTTGATGCTCTAGAGTTAAAAAAAACCTTAAAATAAATAGAAAAAAATTGTGGTTTTATATTTTTTATTTGTTAAATCAATAGTAAATAGCAATTTTTTAGTAGACAGAATTTTCCAATTCTCCAGAATTTATCCGGGATAACCCTAATAAAAGTCTTTTACACAAAAGGAGAAAATATTAAATTTAATATTATGTATCTTAAATATATTGATTAATTTATTTGTAATATCTTGAAGCCATTTAGGTCATCTATTTACATACCTAAATTAAAAGTTATAGCCCATATAAGGATAATAAAAGGCATTGGTCTGTTAACTAAGTCATAAAGTATTCCACCAAATGGATAACCGATTAATACTCCTAAAGCAACGCTTCCCATTATGAGACCCATGACTTTACTGCGTCTTAACTCTGACATATGTTGTTGATCTGCTATTAAACACATTCCTAAAAAATAAATAAGTTAGTATTCTATTATATGTTATATAAATACGTATCTTTTTACCAGAAACACTAATAAGTGCAGAAGCAGTACCTTGAAGACTTCTGGCTATTAATAAAGAAGCAAAAGATTCACCATACGCAAATACTATAAAAATTAAAAGAAACATTTTAAATATAATTAGTTAGTTGTAATCAAACAGGTCGTCTGTGAGTTAAGCTAAAAAACAAAATAAACAACATTCTACCGTTATTACGCTTATTATACTTTGTACAACTTGAAGGTTTTTTAAGTATTTGTAATAATCAGGGGAGCAATTAAACTGCAGATTTTTTTATTAATCCCTCATGTTTGTACCCAAAGCTGCAAAAGAAGATTTTATTAAAAATTTATTCTATCTCTAGTTTATAAAGGAACAAACCAGTTAATCTTACGAATGTTCAACAATTTTTAAAAAACTACAAGCGCAAAATTAATGAAATATTAGGAGTACAATTAGTTTGTAGTAATTAGGCATTAGTACAAAAAAGATCAAAATTCCCATCTATTGTACCCCTAATTCCCTTTAAAATACCATGTATGTCGATTTTTAAGCAAAAGATATTAATTTGATTGATATTATACAAATGTGTCAAATTTAATAACATTCGAGAAAATAAACAATAAACAAGTCTACAATGACGGTTCATAATAATTCATAAATGTAATAACTTTAAATCTACCGACTATTTGTAATACTTTTTATTTATTTATTTATTATTTTACCATGGTACAATAAATATAATATTTTTTTAATTAATTAAAAACATTATTATTATTTTTTTTAATTTGTAAGAAATGTAAGACAAGAATCAAGACTGATTAAATCCAATTTTTTATGGTAGATTTTAAGAAAAAATAAATGCTTGAAAAATATTCTATTAATGTTTAGTAGTAATTACGGATTGTTTTATGGTACCAAATTTATGTATACAAAAAAGAACAGAAGAAAACGCAATCTGTTTGCGCTAATTTTTAGATATAGGTCTTCAATTTTTATCTATGAAAATTATTATTGTTTCAATTACAGGCGCTCATTTAAACAATAATAATTTTGATGGAAATCACTTTGAAACTCTAACTTGTACTTAATGTCAAAATGTGTTTTAAAAGTATCTATCTTTTTCTTACTTAGATATACTAACTTCTGATACCGTATAATAAACATGAAAATATTCAAACTTTTATAAAATTTAAAATACTGTATATTAATACAAAACATTACAAAATTATTTTGCTACTATTTTTTTTTCTAATATCTACTTTATAAATTAACTATCTAGATCATTCTTTTAAATTTTTTGCAAATTTAAAACAAAATTATTTTTTTCTATAAATTATAAAAAAAAAATGTTGATGATGTTCTCATAGTATTAAAGTATAAAGTAATTTAAAAAAAAGTAACACAAAATATATAGTTGATCATATGTTATTAGATTTGTCAAAGCTTCTTGGAACATTCTGTATAGGACCCTTCAGATTTTTTCAATCGAGATTGTTAAGATAGTAAATCGTTGAAATTAATGAAAAATTAGATGTAACTAACTTAAGTTAGTTACTGAAAATAAAAAAAACTTTAAAAGTGTAAAATTTCTATTTTTCTTTAATTAAACATAAATTAAATTTAGTATTATAAAATATGAGGATATTATAATTTGCTTTGTTTTTAAACAGTAAATTTGTTAAAAATTTTTACTTATATACAACGTAAAATTAATATACTTTCAGCTTAAAAATAAAACTCATATTCTCAAAAAGTATTTAAAAAAATTAAAAACTACAAAGCTTAAGTTATGTTATTGAATTTATTAGGCTAACATCTACATTGAAGGAACACCATGAAGTATTTAAATAATAAATTGATTAATATAAGAGCAGGGAGTTGTAATTAATAGTATTTCTAACAAAGAAGTATTTTAAATTTAATTCTACTGTATTATCGTAATTTTTGATGAAATATTATTCTACTATCCATTCACTGGAAAGTTATGATTCTCAACATAAATTTAAGTATTAAAAGTTATGTTTTAGTAACAATAAAATTATTATATCATGACTATAAAGAATTTTTCAGGTAATAAATTAGTATTAGTTTCATGAGTATAGCATTAAAAAATAAACTATTAAAGTACTTTGAAGTTCAAAAAATTCTTAAGTTTCTATGCATAAGTTAAGTTATTTTATCTACTAAAATTATGCTGTTATATATTGTAAACTGATTTTAGACTTACACACTGATACAATAATTAGCAAAACAGATCCAAAAAATATTGGCAAATTATATCCAATATATGAAGTTAAAACACCAACTACAGGGTTCATGAAGAGTTGTACAATTGCTTTTGAAGACAATAATAATCCAATCGTTTCATTTTCATTGTCCAGACTTTGTTTCATTCTTACCAAAGAACTAATTACAATGTAACAATTTTCTTAAAAATTTGTATATTTAATAATACAATGAATAAAATATCATTTACCTGGCTAAAAGTGACGTTTGATCGGATTTACTCAAGTTAGTTGCCCTAGATAAATTGCTGTTCCATTGACTGTATAGATGTTCAGGAATAATTGGCACTAAATTAATGCCAATTAGTGAATTCAATTTAATTTTCAGAAAATTTAATTAAATGATAATAATATATTATTTATAATTCTCTATGAGATATCAGGAAAAAAAATATTTTATATAAAATGTTATTTTTTTTTATATACTATAATTTAGCATCGAAAATGTTAAATTCTTGTTTAAAGTGTTCGATGATGAATATTAGTTTCCTTATTTAAATATATGTCAGCGAAACTTTTAAAATCAGAGACTTGTGAGTATTACGCCTTCTAATTATTCATTATGATCCATACAAATTTAGACAAATAAAGTGGGAAAAAATAGCATTCAATTTTATAGTTGTTGAGTTTGGCGACGATAATGAAATATATTTAAAACTTTGTAATATTGTGATTCAATTAGATTTTATTTAGACTGTGGGTAAAAGTCCTCTACGGTACTATTTTATGTTTTCAGTAATTCCTATGAATTATCGAAAACGTTTATAACTATGACGGTTTGTCATTCTTGGAGTATAAGTATTTTATTGTCTGTAACTTATAAAACTATTATATTAACTGAATTTATTGTATGATATGAATATGTTTTGTTTGAGTTGTACATTTTTTGTAAAGTTTTGTGATCTTGTTTATTTTATATTTTTATCCCTAAAATGCTGTTTTACTAAAATTATTTCAATTTATGAAGACTACAAAAAAAATTAATTTACTAAAACATGTGTATATAAATATTATAATATTTAACTTATCAAATAGCATTGTGTAAGTTATTGATATCTTACCAACAACGGTCAACAGTACATTGTCTAAAAACATAGATAAGTAGACGATAATGATCACTCCTAGATCGCTTTCTACGAAACTTGAAAGAAGAGACCTGCAAATATCATGAACACGTTAAGATTAATAATGTTTAAATTAAAAAAAATTTATTTTATCAAACTAAATTCTTCATTGTTTTTTGTTTGACCAAAATAGAATCATTAAAAAATAATTTTTCGAGCCTACTATAATTATAAAACAAGATTCATTAAATAATCATTTGAATAAATTTTTAATTGTTTATTTTGACGTAATTAAAATGGTACCTTACATCTAGTAAATAAATATTGAATGCATTTTTCATTGTATGAATGTTTACGCGTTTAATGAAAAATTGAGTTATATAATTGAACGCTTCTATATTAATAATCATCATCATACTTACATTGCACTTAGACCCTGAATGTAAGGCGCACAACATGTAAATGAACTATGATTGCAAGGGTTTGCTGGGCTTACTGATGTTCAATTTACCGGTGTATTAGAAAAATAATATAAATCTTCTTGTCCACATGGTCTTGTGTTGTCATAGTAACAACCAATTTTGTAGTTATTTTTATCTCTTGTCAGCATGAATGCATTTTGAATTTGATACATGAAGAATTGTTTTCAGTAAAAAGGGTGTTTACTAGACATCGCATAATGTTCGTCTCAATAAATTACTTAGTGATCATTGGACCCAACTCTTTGTATAATATGTTATCTCAATGCACAAAAGTCAACAAATTATGAGAACATAATTATTTATTTTATTCTGTTTTAGTAGTTAGTCATGTGTGTTACATGCGCCATAAACAACAAATTGTTGCAAGAGTTCGGTAGCAAAAAATTAAATGAATAATTTTACTTGGTTTTATAATATTTATGTTTGCAACGAATGCTTTAATTTTTGAAATTTAATAAATGTTATTTTTAACAGCTAACGAACATAATTTTAGTCAGTGCTAAAGATGGCTAACCGAGATGATTTTTACAATTATTTATTTAAATACATCGTAGTGGGTGATGTCGGTAAGTATTTAAACTCAAATATTTAAACATTTTTTAGTTATTTATAACAAGTTAAGATCAATTAAAAAAAAAAACGATTCTCTTATGTGTCTTTCATTTGAGTTTTTATTTTATATGACTTTTGAAGTTTCTTTAGTTATATATATATATATATATTTATTTATCAACTACTAATTACTTTTCATCCCTTGTAATACTTTACAGGGGTATCAACTTAATTTTCTTATATGACTACATATTTATTTAATTAGCTTAAGAAATAGGAAACGAATAATATTCTAATTCAGAAAACGACAAGTTGATTATAACTTTTGGACTATTACTTCAAAAGTTATTAACATTTTTATATGTGAGCGGAGGATAAGTTCAGCCGAAAAATATCTATAAAATAGTCATACCCGCGCCTCACTCCCGTCTATATTTTAAAATCGTCATAACTTCTGAAATACTGGTCCTAAAGTTGTTATCGTCCCGTTATTTTCTTAATTAGATTATTTCCTATTTCATAAGTTAATGAAATATTGATATTGACATTTAAAAAAATTAAGTTGAAACCTCTATAAGTTATATGTGATGATTACAAAAAATAATTAACAGTTGATAAAACAAAAAATTCATGTAACTTATGTAATTAAATAAAACCATTTTTATTTAAATATGGAACTTATTTTGAAAACAAACGGATCATTTTGTATAATAATAAGTCCATAAAAAAGATTATAAATTAACCTGATGAGTTATAATTTTAGGTGTAGGAAAAACATGCATAACCAGGCAGTTTCTTTATCACGAATTTGATACTAAACAACTAACAACAATTGGTAAATAAGAGTTGATTTATGTTTTATTTAATTATAATTTTATTTTTTATTATTCTTATATAATCAAACCCGGATTAAAAAGAGGGCCAGTATGGGATGGTATTCTGGGTCCATCATAAATTATTAGATCTCGGGTTCCCATTAGGAACATGGTTTTATTCCAGTCCTAATTGTAATATATACTGATAAGTAATAATAATAGTATTTTTACAATTTATATAAAAAACTGAATGAATGTGTTAAAACTTTCATGGATTGTCTTGTTGCTTGAAGTGCTTGAGAATATATCCATGTTTACATTTTTTTTTTTTTTATAGATTGTAAACATGTAAACATGGAAAAAACTGAATGTTTATTTATTTAATTAGATTTCTATTTCTAAGGGTAAAACGAGTATTAATTCATTCATAATACAATATAAATAATTAACTTGTTTTTTGATAATCTAAAGTGTTAAATAAAAAAAATCATGAATTGTAAAAAAACATTATTTTTTTTATAAGTTTAACTTCTGATTTTAACAGATTGTATACTACTATATGATATACCAATTTACACAGCACTAACTATGTTTATTAGTAAATCAATGAATATTGTTGACTTAAGCTCATCAATATTATCATTGATGGCACCTTGAACTTAAGGATTAGTCAATAATAAGAAAAAATAATATGTATCATTATATAAAACAAAAAATTTAAATTCGAAATGGTGTTAATTATATAGTACATTTTTGTGGTGAAGATATTTAAAACATTAATCAACAAAAGTCGAATTAGTGCTGTAGTTTTAATGGAATTTTATGCTTAATCAATTAGTTAAGTTTTAAAATATGTCACTTTATTTAGCAATTCAGTACCCTATATTACATGACTACAATTATTCCAGGTGTAGATTACGGACATAAAACATTACCATTATATGGCAGAAAAATAAAAATAGCTATTTGGGACACTGCTGGACAGGAAGCTTTCAAATCAATTGCTAGGTCGTATTACACAGGTGCGGCAGCATGCGTACTTGTGTATAATATTACCAATCGAGATTCTTTTCTGCATGTTAGTGAATGGTTAAAGGAAGCTCGTCTCAACTCTGGTTCAAGAATGTTATTTGCTTTAGTCGGCAATAAAACGTAAATTCTCTTGCATGTATAATAAAATACTGAAGATTTAAATTGCGTTTTCGGTATATAATTAGCTATTGATTTTTATATACTTAATCCTATATTACTCCACGAAATTCAATGTGAATCTTTTTAAAATTTGATAAAAGGCGCAGTCGGAGTGCCGATTAAAGCGTATGCTTAAAGCTCTTTACATGTAAAGAACCTAAAATGGTATATCTATTAAATTAATGGATATTGTAATATCGATTCTAAACCTTTAAATAAATATAATTCATAGAATCTTATTCAGAATTGCTCATCGACTAAGTTTTGTATCTGAGGTTATATTTTTTCTACAATTATAAGTTTTTTTATAGAGATCTAGAATTGAATAGGCAAGTAGATCGAGTTGAAGGAGAAACATTTTCATATCGTAACAGCTTGTTGTTTTTTGAAACTTCAGCAAAAACCGCGAGCAACGTATCAGATGTTTTTGAAGAGTTGGCACGACAATTGTATAGGAAGGTGCTCAGTGGTGAAATTGATGTCAATCGTCCAGTTAGAAAATTTTTTATTTAAAACATTTAAAATATTAAATTTATTGATCATTGAATTGATAAAAATAATTTATATTGCAGATGTCAGGAGTGCGTCTTGGTCGAAAAATGAGTAAGACAGAAATGGTAAAAACACATGCAAACGATTGCTGCTCTTCTAATTAATTTTAAGTATTTAAAAGTTTATTTAAAAGCAAAAAACACTTATAGATTATTTAATAGAGGCCAATCTTTATAAATTTTATTATATTTGTATAGTTTTCCTTAAAAAATATCTTTAAAAGAGTATTTATTTATTTATTTTTTATTTATTAATGGGCATACGCCCGAATTGGGCTCAGAACAGTTTACATAATCAATACAGGTAAGATAATAGATAAGAAATCAGAATTACAAATTTAAATCAGTACATACAGAAGTTATTATACAATTATTGATAAACAAGGATTTTAGAAATAAAAAATGACATAAACTTATACTAATTCAATTAATTACATAAACATCTATAATTATATTAATGATTTTAACCTGGCTAAGTTATCGTAAAAAAAATCAAAATTATTTATCGAGTTGCCTAAAATTAACATTCTGTTGATCTGTATGTTAATGGATACGATTTATTTCCTTAGTTTCCTCAATGATTAGCCACGACAACCATAATTATGACTCCTTGAAAGTTTAATTTAAAAATATTTGTTAAACAATCAAATTAAATATTTTGATATATTCTGATAATTATCAAAATATTAATCAATCAAATGAAAAGGTAACTTAAACAAAATTATTCATATTATCATTGAAAAATCATAATGTATTATCGAATAAAATGTTAACATATGGTTATATAACTAGGTGTACTTAAATATCTATTCAGCATAACATTGTAATTAATAATACTCAATTATGTAATATTTAAAAAAAAAAAAAAATGTTTACTAACATCGCATTATTATTCAAAATAAATCATTAAATACTCATTTTCTTTTTCGTCTTTATACCAACTACTTGAGGTTAGCCATAATTTTTCATTGTTTAATAATAAAACGTTTATTACTTTAATCATTTTCATAATTTAATGTTCAAATAAAATGGCTGTATATATTTTTATACATTGTTCAGCATTATATCTATTACTATAAAAGTATAAAAAAAACATTATTAAAAAAAATGTTGCTTTTGCACCACGCTATATATATATATTATATACATTAATAAATAGTTTAATATTAATACGTAATATTTTTTAAAAATAAAGAAAATCATAAAAACTTTTGTTTAGAAAATATGTTAAACTTCACTTTTCTATTAATTTGTATGCAAAAATAAAAATTTTTTTTTACAATTATTTGGTAAATTAATTTTGGTATAACGATATATTACATTTAAAAAATTGTATAATTATGCATATTTAAATCATTTTATAAGCATCTTTAATAATTTCAGTTATAATTGGATCATCGTGTTATGTAGTTTTTTTGAAGTGAGTATACGTACACCAGTACGAGTTGCACACATCCTTACTATATACCCACTCTATGTATTAAAATATTTGTAACATAACCTTGTAAAAAAAAAATCAACTAAATGATAACCGTGGTTAGTTAGTTCTGACATTCTGTATAATTAACATTTTACAATTTACTGTATTCTTGAAATGTTAAAATACAGTTAATTGGTAATTAAAACTATACAGTATAAGACAACAACAAGTGATAACAGAAATATTCTGTTGTGATATCATACATATGATATGATCAATAAGGTTTTGGAGGGAATGTTAAATAATTTATATTTAAACAAGCTATAATTGTTGTTAAATAATAGAATAGATCTATTCTGTGGTAAAGCTACTTAGTTGCAAATATAAAAAAATAATAAATTGTCTTTTATTGATATGGTTATTCTTGATATTTTGCTGCATTATTAGCATTTTCTACGTGTTTCATTGTGCATATTAGACTATAGTCGATTTTATTGATTAATCACTCTTATGTTTTGCTGTACCTTGTGATCTTTGTATAAAGGCCCTAGCGATTTTATATGCTTATTATGTGTAAAATACTCTTTACGATTTGCTGCAATACCTCGTGGGTGAGTTGTCTTTACGATTTGTAATTCAGTGTCATACAAAACTAGTCAAATAATCTCAAAAGTATAATGCAACCTTATTATAGTCAAGTCGTATAGTCTCTTAAAGATATAATTATGAGAGTTTTAGTTAGATTGTTAAACTAGTTGGAAAGAGAATTTAGTTTTATAAGGAAATGTTTATTGTTATTATATTTACACATTATTAGGGTTGATTAGTTAGTCGAGATAGAATGAAACCAAACGCTATTTTTGTGTTAAAATTCTCGATTTTATATTTTATATTTTTAACTTAAAAATGCTATAACTTTTTGAAAAATGTATGGATCAATTCAATTTTTTTTTGAAAAGTAATATTTATATATTTTTTTCATTCAATATACTTTTTTTTAAATCGGACTATTTTCCTTAATATAGGAGGGGTTCAAAACTTAAAAATGCGTATAGAAAGTAAAGCTTTTCAACTTATTTGTAATTAAAAATATTAATTTATAAAATATTTAATTATATTTATTGATTATTCATATGCAGTGCTCGAATTGGCCAAAAATAAGTAGGGGAGCTCAACTTAACAATTTGAAAACTGCGTCCCTAGCATTTTGAAGACCTTTTTTTTTTTTTTACTCATTACTTTATTTAGTATTTATTAATAAATCATATTTCATTATCATACTAATATTTTAAAAAAAAAAAAAAGGTGGTATTTTCCACCGTCCTCCCGTCACAATAAAAAAAAGTAGAGGAGCTACGTCCCCCTGCGCACCCCCCCAATTCGAGCACTGTTCATATGTAACCTATTATCAATAATCCGTAGAGGAGAGAAAGATACCTGCAGTTGTCAGGCTATCGAAGAAAAAAACAGTTTGCGTGTGTGCTTGTGTGACGGTCTTACTCGCCAACCTGTGAGTTAAGGGTGGGAAGAGAGTACGGAGCAAAACAGGTACATTATATTTTTGGTTTATTTGTCAGATTGTCGCGTGTGGCTGATTTGAATATACAGTTATTTTGTAACCTCGTGTGTAAGAGCGTCAAAGTGAGGTTACGTGATCTTGTGTCGATTGGAGCTATAGTACCACGGTGTAGTGATGGTCAGGCCACGGTTGATTACGCGAATCAAAACGTGTTTGTTTATTATAAGTGATAATATTTGTTTTCGGTTCTCGGGCACTAACGGTTATAGAAATTAGTTGTTTAAGTGTGAAGTGACATTTACGGTTTATGAAATTTATAAACCAGTTATTTATTTATTTACTAATATATTTTTTTAAGTATTTTCTTTTGAAGTTGTTTTCTTCTAAGAAAATAAGTCGTGAGTGTTCAATTCCCAGCGAATAAAATGGCTGATGAGTAATCAATACGCACACCAACATACACCGAACTTATTAAACTTGTAAATAGTCTGAAAGCTCAGGTGGATGTACTACAAAAAGCTACATCGACTACAGTCACTGTTGCAACTAGTAAGTATGTGAATACAGAACCATTACCTCAAATGGAGTATAGAGTAATACTGGATCTCAATCAGTCTGTGAGACCGTTCACTGGCCGGTAAGAGCCACACGTGGCTGAAGACTGGTTTAGATCAGTGGAGAATTTGACAGTTATAAATATGTGGCCTCTGTCATATAGGCTATAGATTATTCGGATCAATTTGACTGGAGCAGCGAAAAAATGGTTTATTGACAGAGAATTTTTGAATTGGTCAGACTTTCAAAGTATATTTAGAGGCTCATTTATACGTGAAATGAGACTGTCGGAACGTTGGGATGTCATGCAGCTTCGCGTTCAAGGAAGAGAGGAACATCTGATGGATTATTCCCATGACAAAATAAGATTGTGTCGGGCATTAAATATAGAATTTGCTGAAATCCGAGATTGTTTCATTCTGGGCATATATCAGAAGGAGTTGGCGATGTATGCATTGGGTTTGGTGCATATCAGTGAAAAAGCATTGTTCTCAGATTTAACTTCCTGGTGTTGCATGACTAATCTTAGATCAGCAAAAGTGGGTAATACTTTAGAACAAAACAGAAATAGTAGAATACATTGTTCAAATTTTGGTGAAGACACAACCAAAGTGGTTCAGAACAAAAACTTACCGATAGCAAGTGACCAGAAGGCCTGAGAATAAGGTTAGATATATGACCCATGATCGTAATAAATCTGAGAGACCGAGGAAATGTTTTAAGTGTTCGGTAGAAGGACATATGGCGAGTGATGTCCAACATCTGCGGAAGTGACAGTAATAAACAATAATATTAGCCGACAATAGAATTATATAAAAGAAATAACTATTAATGACCAACTTGTCACCGTCAATGGTTTAATAGATACAAAGAGCAATTATTCTTTTATTAAATGCATTGTGGTGGATAAATATAAGTTACCAGTGGTACTTATAACAGTAAACTTCATGGTATTCGGAAATAGCCAATATACTGTGAGTGGTGGGGAAACTACGGCTGTAGTTAAAATTGATGAGGTTAAGGAACCTTTAAAGTTCATAGTAGTGAATGACAATAGACAGAACCATGATATCATAATTGGTTATGATATCATTGGATGTAATCAATGGATTACATTTTAGTTATGTAATTGAATTTCCATTTAGGAAAGAATCAACCATTGATGACAGCATGGAAATGGAAAATCAAGAAGTACCAATTATTCAGAATGATGGCGTTCCAGAAGAAATTACTATGGATATGGTTAACTATAATTCTAATTTCAACCAGGGACAAGTAAATGAACTTATTAAGTTATTAAATGAGTTCCGAATATGCTTTGCATTTAGTTTACAAGAGTTAGGGTGTACTAATTACTTAACTATGGACATTGTAGATACAAATTTGCCAGTTGTAAGCAAGCCGTATAGAGTCAGCGCTTTAGAGAGGAAAACAATTGATTCCATAGTACAAGAATGTAAAGAGGAAGGGTTGGTGACTGAAACTAAGTCACCTTATGCTTCACCAGTTCTACTTATGCCAAAGAAAGATGGGGAATAACGTCTTGTCACAGATTACAGGAGATTAAATGCACATACGGTCAAAAAAAATTTTCCTACACCAAATGTAGAAGACCGGCTACAAACACTGCGCGGATCTACTTCATTTATAACATTAGATTTGTCATCTGGTTATTTGCAGGTACCGTTGACTGAAACTGCAAAAGAAAAAATTGCTTACAGAAACTGGTTAATTTGAGAGAATAATGTTTGGATTAGCAAATGCACCATATGAATTTTGCAAGTTAATGCAACAAGTGATAAAGAAATAAAATAGCAGTTTGGTACATGGATGATGTATTAGTACCAGTATTTGATTTTGAAATATGATGAGACAATTAAGATTAGTGTTCAAAAAATTGAAAAAGGCAAAATTAACACTAAAATTGCGTAAGTGCCATTTTTGATGCAAAAAAGTGACATATTTGGGTTTCAATATTAGCTTTGATGGTATCAAACCTGGACGAAATAAACTTAAGGCTGTTAAACATTTTCTTACACCAATAAGTAAGCACGATGTTAGACGTTTTTTGGGATTAAAGGGTTTCTTTCGCCAGTATATTCGCAAATATGCAGATATGTTAAAAATCACATTAATATGTGCGTTGCCTGTGTTGTGAACAAAGCACCCCGTGGAAAGCGACCGGGAAAACTTCATCTCATTGAACCAGGGAAGAAGCCCTTCGAGACGATTCATATTGATCATCTTGGACCCTTTCCGATTAGTTCAAAGAAAAATAATTATCTATTAGAGCTTACAGATAATTTGAATAAGTTTAT